GAGCAAAAGGCAAGCTGTGCTAGTCCTATAGGAACCAGTCTCAGGGTACTTTGAGGATCCTCTGGAGCCTCCTGGAGGAGGCCTGGTCCCACAGAGCTCCCTCATCCAACCAGAGTGGGAGGCTTGGTTGTTGGGAGCCCACTTCCCAGTACTCCATTTTCCATGTGTGAAAATATAATGGACATTCCTGTAAATAGTGATGTTTTATGTGTGCAAACATATTTACAGAAGAGATACCTAGAAATTACACTGTTAGCTCAAAGGGTAGATGAATTTGTAATTTTAATGCTTTGGAAAATGCTGCTATTTATTTATCAATAAATAAAAGGATTGAACCAAGTGTAGTGGTACAAGCTTACAATTACAGCCTCAGGAATGCTGAGCGAGGAGGATGGTGAGTTTGAGGTCAGCCTAGGTTACATAGTGAGACTCTGGCTCAAATTCATTCAATATGTAGTCCCGTCAGTAATATGTGAAAGTCTTTTTCCCCACAATCTTGTGAGTAGATTATCGAACCTGAAGCAAACCTTTATCGACCTCATAGAAGAAAAGATGTTCTTTTCAGCTTTAGTTTGTGTTTCTCTTATGATCAATGAGGTTGGCATCTTTTTGTTTGTTTGTGTTTTGAGAAAGGGTCTTCCTGTAGCTGCAAATCACAATGTAGACCAGGCTGGCCTCGATCTCACAGAGATCTTCCCGCCCCCACCTCCAGAGTGCTGGGACTAAAGGTGTATGCCACCACACCTGGCTAGGTTGGCATCTTTTAAGAGCTCTTTGGGTTTTCTTTTTCAATGTTTTATTAGCGTTTGTTAGTCTTACATATGAATGGGTTTCATTATGACATCTGCACGTATATGATGAACTTCGGTGCCTTTGCTGCCACTGCTCTCTCCCGTCTTCCTCCCGCTGCTGCTGATCCTCTTCCCAACTAGGCTTCCTTCTACTTTCATTCCTTTCTGTGTTATTGTTATTTATTGCAGTGTGGGCACCTTACCACAGGCTATACTACTGAAGAAAATGTCTCCCCTTAGCAACCGTCATCTGCCTATCAATCCTCAGGGAGGGGTCGGGCCTCCTGAGTTCCTCCCTCCTCCACGACAGGATGTTACAAGACCAATCTTCTGCAGGTAATTGCAACTACTGTGAGTTCAAGCGTGCCATGGTCTCTAATATTCTGCACCATCCTCTGGCTCTTCCATTGTTTTTGCCCTCTCTTCCTGGGAGGGGATGATATTGCTATCCCATTTATGATTAAACAATCTCTCATACTCAGCACAATGGCACTAATCTATAGGGATAAGTGTAATTATTCAGAAGGCCATCTGAGCATTATGTTATGTCCACTTAGTGAAGCAATGGCTGTAGCTTCCCCAATTATGACCTCACACCATGGGCTTTTGACCAGATGTACTGTACCAGATGTGAATTCCCTCCTGTGGAACAGGCCTCACTTCCAAACAGAAAGCAGTTGTGCCACTATTGCAGAGGTCACATCCTGCTTGCCTGATTGGTGGTGGGTACTATGGGTTTCCTTTTCTGTCAACTATTCCTACTCTTGACATTGGTCCATTGGATTGATAGCCTTTTTCTTCATTAGTCCTACCATTTTACATATTAAGGAAATAGCATTTGTCTATCATGAATTACAAGTTCCCCAATTCCTTATTTATATTTTGACTTTCTATCAAGTAGTCATTATTATTATTTTGCTTTGTAGAGATTGTAAAAAGGTTTTATAAGCTAGAGTCAATAACCTATCCTACTTTTACTCATGGTTATAAAATACTTCTCACATCTACTTTTGTTAACTTTATGATTTCATTTAACTCTTTCGTTGATGAGAATCTTTCTTTAGAGTTGCTTATACAGAAGGGTTTATGCCTTTTGGCTTCTTCAGATGCTTATCTGTGAGCTAGCACCATCAATGAGACATCAACACTCTCCCACACACTCAAACCTCCTTCTGAATTTCCTATTGGGTTTGAGTGAGTCATCTTTCCATTCACATTGTTTTCATTATCAAGGACTTAACAATGGGTTTTTATCCATGGCTGTTTTAGTCTTGTTACTCTAATTTTTCCAAAAAATTCCTGGTTATTCCTGGTAAAATTTCCACATGAAGTTTTAGTACTAGCTAGTTTAGTTCCTCCTAAAATACCCTTTTGGTGTTTTTATTGGGATCCCATGAAATTTATAGGTTCCCTATCCGTGACAGATTTATGACTGTGAGAATGGAAGAGCATGGCGTGTTTTGGTATCGTTAAGTCTTTGTGTCCTTCTACCGCATTAAAATTGCAAACTATAAACCCTACATATTTCTTGTTAAGTTTATTCTTAGGAGTTTTATTTTTTGTTGCTATTTCAAATAAGATTTTTCCTTTTGTTATATCTTCTAATCAGCTAATTTTTTTTTGTAGACTGAGTGCTGAGTGATTTCCACATATATATAGAAATGGAAGATATTAAATTCTGTTTGAGTCTATGATGTTTTTAATTTCATTCTTTCTTTTATTCCTCTGGTTATACCAGAAGGGTACAAAGTAAAACTATGGGCCAGATCCAGTCAAGGCTGGATTTTGTGCAGATAAAAGCTAAGAATTATTTTTATATTTTGGAAGGATTAAGGGCTGGAGGTGGAGCTTAGTGATAGAGCATCTGCTTATAGGTATGAGGCCCTGGGTTTGAGCCTCAGCAACACAAAAACACATATGTAATTAATATCAATAAGCAAAGAGATTGAATTAGGCATGGTGGTCCTTGCCTATTATCCCAGCACTCTGAAGGCTGTGGCAGGAGGATCATGAATTTGAGGCCAATCTGACTACGTATCTAAGAAACAAAACCAAAAGCTGAACCCAGTGGGACTGGGTGGTGCACACGTTTGATCCCAGCTTTCAGGGAGGCAGAGGGAGGAGGAGCTCTGTAAGTTCAAGACCAGCCTGGGATACAGAGTGGAGTTCAAGGCCAGCCTGGCCAATGTGAGACTTTGTCTCAAAATTAGAAAGTCAACGAAGGCTGGAGATACAGCTCAGTGGTACAGCGTTTGCTAGTATGCATGAGACTCTAGATTCAAGCCCCACTACTGCCAAAAATCAAAACTATTTAAAAAAGGACACGTGGGGGCTGGAGAGATGGCCCAGCAATTAAGAGCACTGACTGCTATTGCAGAGAACCCGAGTTTGATTCCCAGCACCCACATGGCAGCTATAAACCGTCCTTAACTCCAGTTCCAGGGGAATCCAAAGCCCTCTTCTGACCTCCGCGGCATTGCACGACACGGGTGCACTCGCATACATGCAGGCAATACACTCGTAATACACATAAAGTAATAAAAATAATAAATAAGATATTAAAAATAAAGGACATATGGCAGAGCTCTTAGGCAGGCCATATGTGAAGCCTTACGTTGCTACAAATCTAACCAGTCTATGAAAACTCTCATTACTCTGATTCGATCATTGCCTATTGTGTATGTATCAAAATATCATAGTGTGTGCCATAAATAAGTATAAACATTGTATTTCAACTAAAAATGAAAAAAGTTAAGAAAATAAAATAAAAGTTTGTTACTCTTCAAATATACAATGATAACATCTACTTAACAGTGACCTCCACATTGCTGGGCTTTGTTCATGGCTATGGTTTGGGTTCTACTTTGCTTTAATTTATTTTGAGGAAGTCTCGCTATGTAACCCCGGCTGTCCTTGAACTCTCCATCCTCCTCACTCAGCCTCTGGGTAGCTGGTAGTACACACACATGACCCTGTGCCCACCTTTTGTCTTTCAGTCTATTAAAATGAGAGGTTTCCCAAAATTGAATCATCCTTATAATCCTGGCATCAGCCTTTGCTTCAGTATTCATAAATGAGAATGGTTTGTTTATTTTGATCAGAACTGCCAGGTTGACTTAATCTTCCTTATTTACTAAAAGTCAAAGATAGATGCCAATAATTTAAAGAAGCAAATAATTTTACTAAGTGAGAGAATTCTCCTGCTCTGTACCTCATCCATTTCTTAGTTCCTAGAAACAACCACTTTTGATTTTTTTTAGTAATTTTTAAAATTTAGTTCCAGATATTTAAATAATAATTTGTATGTCTACTTCTTAAATTTATGCTTGAGCACTATTTATTAAATTTCTATATTAGAAGGTATAAATCACCTTTCTATTCTTCACTCCAATCCTACCACAACATACAAAAATGCTTTTGCCTTTACTGTCCTCTGAATACAAGAACAATTTTTAATGTATACTTTTATTGATTTTTTGTGCATTTCATACATCTTAATCATATTTAGACTCCCCTCCCCTGCCTGCACCCACAGCATAGCCCACCCACTGGATTTCATGCATTCTGTCATATATGTTAAGGACTATCTAATCAAGTTTGTGTCTCCAGATGTCCCTTGGTGTGAGTTCATCCCCTGGAGCCTGATCAGCCTATTTAGAGTCACTCCCTTAAAGAAGATCAGTTCTCCCTCATCCAACAGTGATCATCTGCCAGTAGTTCCTCAGCTAAGATTGGGATCTGCTGTTAATTTCCCCAGGTCTATGCTGGGTTTTTGGCTTACTGAGTTTGCATGGGTCTTGTGCATGCTGTCACCATTACTGTGAATTCATGTTAGCAAGTTTCCAGAGGCCTGGAAGACACTGTTTTCTTATGGTCATGCACCGCCCCTGGCTCTTACAATCTTTCCACCCTCTATTTCACAACCTTCCTTGTGCTCTGGGTGGGTGAGGTTTAATATGGGAGTCCTATCCTGGGACATGTACTCTGCAGTCTCTTATTCTCTACACCTTGGCCAGTTGTGGCCTTCTGTGTTCATTGCTCTCTGGTGAGAGGAGAGAGATGCATTAGCATTCTCCCTACCCCTTGTTCCACTATGTTCCGTGAGCCTTAGGTGTAGAGGTTCTATTGTAGATGTGTCACTTGAGGTTGGGCATCTCACAGACAGTTATTCTCTGTGTGAGACCAGCTGCGGAACTCTGTAATAGTTTCAAAAATATGGAACGCTTCACAAATCTGCGTGTCATCCTTGGGCAGAGACAATGCTAATTTTCTCTGTATTGATCCAGTTTAGTATATATGCTGCCGAAACGAGCACTATAATTACAACTTTGCTTAGGTCAGTATCCAAAATCATTACTACATATTATGTATTTTCAGCTTATCCATGTACTATATCTTTGTTTGCTTTTGTATCTTCAGAAATTATTAATTGCCTTTCTGTTTAGTTTTCTATGTATTTACAGTTAATGGAGCCCCTTACTCTTTTGTATGTTCAAATGCACTAAATACTTAATCAATTTCATGTTCTTGAAAACAGAGTTCATGGAGCCTTCTGACCTGCTCCAATAATTGCTGGTTCCTTTCTAATTACTGGTTACTGTCTGCTATAATATAATTATATGTAATGTAATATATAATATAATTGTTATAGAATTAATATTATGTAGTCTTCCTTATCCATTAAGGATTCACTACAAGTCTCCTAGTGGAGGCTGGGAGCAGAGATAATCAAACCATCTATCTTCTCTCTGTTTCTCTGTCTCTGTCTCTGTCTTTGTCTCTCTCTCTTTCTCTCTGTCTCTGACTCTCTTTCTCTCATCTGTCTATCTTTCTATCTAAAACATTTTCCCCGGTATATATACCTTAAATTAGGCATGGCAAAAGATCAGCAACAACTAATAAAAAAAGAACAATTATAACAAAATAGTGTAATAAAAGTTATGCAGGAGCTAGAGAGATAGCTCAATGGTTAAAAGTACTGGTTACTCTTGCAGAGGATGGAGGTTTGGTACTCTGCACCTACATGGTGGCTGACAACCATATGTAGTTCCAGTTCTAGGGGACCCAACACTCTCTTCTGGCCTCTGCAGGCATTGCATGCACACAGTACACCTAGATGTATGCAGGCAAACACTCATACATATAAATTTAAAAATTATGTAGATGTGGTCCCTTTCTCTCTTTCTCTCACTGAATTTGATTTATTGATATATCTTTATTTTTTTCCTTCCTTCCTTTTAGTCTCGGCATTGAACCCAGGCCCTTATGATCTATGTGCTACTGAGCTATTCACTGTTACAATTTGATTACTATCTTCCCAGGCTGGCCTTGAACTCACCATGTGGCTGAAGATGACCTTGGATTTCAGATCATCCTCTTATCTTCTGAGTGCTAGGATTATGGTGTGTGCCATTATAACCAGTTTATGCAGTGCTGGGCTCAAACCTGGAGCTTTGTGGATGCTAAGCTTGCACTGTATCTACTGAGCCAGATTCTAGGCCAGTACCTTTATGAGGAATTTTTTTTTATCTGTGTTCATGAGAGATATTCTTTATCTCTGTCTGTCTCTGTCTTTCTTTCCCTCTCTCAGTAGGGTCTCACTATGTCGCTCGGGATGGCCTAGAACTTGCTATGTACACCAGGCTGGCCTTGCACCCACAGAGATCTGCCTGCTTCTGCCTCCTGAGTACAGGAATTAAAGACATGTGCCACCATGCCCAGCTTTGAAGTTCATTCTCTTGTAATGACATTTTCTGGTATTAGAATCAAGGTTATTTTGATTTTATAAAATTACTTGACCAACTTTAAATAAGATTTTTTTAATCTATGTCTGGTAAAATTCATTATGAAGTCATTTGAATCTGGAGTTCTCTTCAGCATATCCAGAACTAGTCCTGTTTTTTACTTCTTTTTATGTCAGTCTTAGTAATGTGTTTCTCAAAAACAATGTTTACTCATTCAAGCTGCTGGATTTGTTAGCATAATACTATTAGCATAATATCCTATTTTTATTTAATATGGAACAATTTGTAACAATGTTTTCCTTCTCATTTTTGATATTGATAATTTGCATTTTCTTAAAAAAATTAAATTGCATTTATCTGTGTGTGTGTGTGTGTGTGTGTGTGTGTGTGTGTGTGTGTGTGTACATACCACATCGTACTTGTGGAGGAGAGAGGACAAGTTATGGGAACTGATTCTCTCCTTCCACCTTTATGTGAGCCCGGGAATTGAGCTTGGGTTCTTAGACTTGACTGCAAGTGCCTTGCCCACGGGGCCATCTTGTCTATCCTTCTTCTTTTCTTGATTTGCTTTGCTATGGCGTAATCAATTGCATTCATCTTCATTCTGTATCCATCATGTACCTGTTGCGGGATTGACTGAAATCTGTTCTTATCCATAGTACTTCTTTCCTTGCATGACTTTTGTTGGAATTTATTTTTCTAGCCTCTCGAAGTGGATGCATTTAAAGCTGCTAGTTTCTTAGTGCTATTTTAGTCGTATGTCACCGATTTGAAAGATTTTTTTCCATTATCATTGGGTTTGAAGCAGCAGTCAATATATTAAGTGAAGTTTCATCAACATTTATTGTAGATTTGAAAATGTTTTAACATTTTTCTCAATCATCTTCTTTTGTTTTTCTACTTTTCCTGTCCATTCTGGCCTTTTCTTCTCTCCACTTGGTTTAATTTCCTTTGTGTTCATTGCGTTGATGTTTCCTTCATTTAATTTTCCTGCCATTAGTTTGAAAGTTTTATACTATATTCACCTTCTCAATGATCACTTTAGGGAATTTTATCTCCTTAGTCTTTCTTATAAAAGCCTTAGGACATTTTATATGAGCTGCATATTAATTCCATCTTAGTAGAGGTATAAATGGAATGAAAAAAATGAGGAAGTGCTGAAAACGGTAACGTAGAGGTTGAGTCTTAAAATGTTAAATGAAATGGAAGGATGATAAGAAAGGGCCAACAAACACAATTTCTTTAAGGAAAAAATGTTGAAGAAGTTAAAAATAGTCACTGGATCATGAATGAAGGCTTTTCTCTTCTGTCTCTCTGTCTCTCTGTCTCTCTCTCTCTCTGTCTCTCTCTCTCTCGCTGTCTCTCTGTCTGTCTGAAAAGCTAATTAAAATTGTGCTCCAGGAACATGTTTGATAATAAAGAACATCATGGTAAAGTTTCCAGAATTCAGGCATTAAAAACTTTTTAATAAAAAATAAAACTGGTAAGTAACTTTCTGGGCATCCAAATAAATACTGAGGTCATTTACAAAGAGAATAATATCTGCTGGACTTGAGACTTCAACAAGAATGAAGGGGTAGTGCTGACACATGCCTTTGATCTCAGCATTTGGGAGGCAGAGGCATGTGGATCTCTGTAAGGTCTAGGCCAGCCTTGTCTACATAGCAAATTCGAGGCCAGCTGGGGCTACAGGGTAGCCCTGCCTGAAAAAGAAAAGAAAAAGAATAGCGGGATGGCCAGGTAGGGGGTGAAGAAGCAAGGTCTATATAATCTCAAGGAAAAAGTACCATCCAGGATTACATACACCAGCTGCAGACCCAGTCCCTCATTTAGCTAGTCTTTCCTGAAGACCACCAGATTAAACCAAGCTTCTAGAGAACAAAGCACTATTCTCAGTTCAAATGTGAAGGGTCAGGAGATGGGATCTTTCCTGGTCTAACTTCTGGGTGGAATGTGACTGAGGTCTGAACTGGCTGTTTGTCTTCTGTGCTATATTCTGGACTTTGGGCTCACCTGGATTGAAAAGAGGTCACAAGAAAATATTCCCTTCACAATATTGGTGAGAGGGGCTAGGACCAGACTGAAACCAAATCCCAGAAAAAAAGATTTTGCACCACATATCAGAGAACTCCTTGTACTAGGCATGTTGGAGTGCAAGCATCCTAGAGATGTTCAGGGAAAACTGATGGAGGTTGGGACTGATGGGAAGACACAGGGGCCCAGCACTCAAGATCAGGCATTAGAACAAGAGACAGAAATGGTAAGACTGTAACTGTGCTTGGTCCATAAACATCCAAACCTGGAGTTTCCTTTCACTGGGCGGTGGGTACATGACTGGGGTCATGCCAATGTATTTTCTGCTTTCATCCAGGCTGGGATTCAAGTCAGGCTCCCTGACTCCACAGGACGTTCTTCAAGGTATGGGAAGGCGACATACCCTGTGTACCGAAGGTTAGAAATCCAATTGCCTTTTGAAGGACAGAAAAGGAACTGTTAGCCACCACGTGGCTGCTGGGAACTGGGTTCTCTGCAAGAGCAACCAGTGCTCTTAGCTGCTGAGCCATCACTCCGGCCCCAGAGCTAAGCTTTGACACTGACAAAATGTAGCTAACTTCCCTGCTAATGACGCTTCTTCTTGGGTGCCCTCTAGCTTATTTTTATACTGAGGTACACTCAGTTGTCTGTACTGCAAACCTGAGATCATTCTAGATGGTTCATTTCTTCCTCACATTGTACAGTCAATTAAATACAAAATCCTGTGATCTAACTTCTGAGTATCATCTGTTGCTAGCCTTGCCCAGGGCTCCCACTGGAGACCAGGCTCCTGCATAAGTCACTTGTGTTTTACCATCATTTTGAAACATGGTATTCCTGCTTACACTGAGGCTGCTTCCCACTGATTGATTCTCTAGCTGAAACCAGAACTTTCCTCTTAAATAGAAACTTGACCGCATTTAAAGTCCTCCGATGGCCTTTCATTACCAGTTGCTCGCCTTAATGAGCCTGCACATTTTTCTCATGCTCTGGCTTCAATCTTCACTTACTTGCCAGTCACTTTCCACCGCTGGCTTTATACCCAGTCTAACAGGATGCTTTCAAATTGCCTAGCTATTGGCCCATTAAAACCCACAGGTGTGTTTTATTTGGCACATATCATTTATTTTTTCAGGTTGAACCAGCATTAAAAAAAAATCAAGGTATTTCTCATAAAAATCCAGATTTTCCTATTCTTTTGAAAAATTGGAATACACATGAACATCCCTACCCCCAACCACCCTTACAGCCATGCTATACTGGAGCGCACACTGGCTGCCCTTCAGTCCGGCCATTTGCGCTCACTTTGCAGTCTTCTGCCCTCTCTCATCTCTGAGACACTAGCCAGAACACCAAGCTAGGGGTGCTTTCCAGTTAGTCTCTTTCCTCTGTTTGTAACACTTTCTCACTCCCTCTCTCGGCCTGGCCAGCTCTTATCTTGCCTGGAGTTTTATTTCAATCATCACTTCTCCAGGGAGTTTTTTTTTAACCTCTAGGGTCTTATTTACATGGGTCTATAACCCAAAAGCCCCTTCCA